TCATTCGCTGATCGACACCACCACATTTGTAAATCAAATGGCCCGATGTTGTTGATTTACCCGAATCAACATGGCCGATAACAACAATATTGACACGTGTTTTTTCTTTACCCATTGAGTTGTGAACAGTCAACTAGAAAACGTATTTTAATCATGTAAAATTCGCCCTATTTATTCAATCAGAACTCGAGTAATTGTGCAAGATTACTTTAGTTATGCTGATGATATATTTCGCAATAGATCATGTCACGGGTAAAGAAAAGTGAAATGTTTCGTCAGAAGTAAATTATACGTGACACATAAGCAGAAAGGAAAAAACATCAGTTGTCAAGTCTGTTTTTTCCTTATAACTCAATTACATATTTTATTAAGCCACTGGAACAACTTCGCCTGTTTTACAACGATTTTGAATAACGAAAACAATCTTCATTACAAGTGTTACAAGTAACCGTAGTAAAATAGTCGATCCTCCGTATAAACCGAGTACTTTCAATGCACTATACGTATAATAATTACTTTTACGGACCGTATACGAACAATAGATTGGTGCGCAGGCTTTATAAAACAATGAATAAGACCTGTAACTTTGCCATGTTTCAACAAACAGTGCGCCTGCTAAGTCCTGAATGAACGTGTCGGTTCTGAAATGACTTTCATTTGAGAAACTTAGAGCTATGATGTTCGTTCGGTAACGATATTGATTTGGCACGGCTGTTACATAATATAAGGATGAATCTATACATGGGGGATTATAAAAGCATTCCATACCCACGAAAAAATTTTAAAACAGATACCGCTGGTCGCCGCGGTTTTTTCATAACGGTTGCGGTTATATCGTTGAAGGTCGCGGTGTCGAAAAGAAACCGCGGTTAACAGCGGTGTGCTGCGCCGCAACACAAATATATCGCGGTATGTTCAAAACAATCCGCAACGTGATCACCGTCCAAGATCTCGGTTTCGAAAATGCGCGATGAAAAGTAGGTTAGCAGTGATATTTGAGAGGCGCCATCTTCCACAAGTTTATATTCTGCGAGCTTCTCATTGTGAACCACGATCTTAAAATTTTTCCGAAGGATATCGGTGCCCAGAATACTTTAGTTCTCGTTTTTATTTAGACTTTTCATCTTGAGGGTGGGTGGGTGAGGGTGTTTTTCATCTGTTTTTTCGATATGGGAATATATCGCAACAACTTCGGTACGTGAAATCACGGTACGATAAAAAAAAGAATCCAATTACAAATCGATTCATCTTTTAGTTGATAAACAGCATGGTTTATGAGAAAAACCTATCGAGAGAATATGAACGCATTGGTTTTTGTTTATTAAACTATAATAAGTTCAACATTCCTTCTATTATTATCTGTCTTGCATTTTCACTTGAAGAGGTTCAAGCAAGAACTACTTTTGTACAAATAAGTTCACCTATTTAGACGCTATTCATCGTTAGGGGTATAAAAAAACTTGATAAACGTCAATTTGATCCCATACATGTATTTCGTTAAAAATTTAGTTCTAAAATAGTTAAAAATATTGATCAGATTTCAGTAAAAGACAACTACTTATCATAATCTAATGATATAGTTGAAACTCGGATGTAGACCTTCACTGAAAAAAATCTTTGGTGAGAATAAACCCTTCAAAAGGATTTATCAAACTGATCAGTTCTTTGAGATACGTTTTTTCCGTTTATTAGCATCATAAATCTTTTGATATACCCTTAAACGTTTATCAGATTGCAACGTATAAAATACCTTTTTGAGTAGATCACAAGAGCAGGTATAACAAAAGGTTTATGATGCTAATAAAGGGAAAAAACATATCTTAAAGAATTGACCAGTTTGATAAATCGTTGTGGAGGGTTTATTACTCACCACCGATTTTTTTCAGTGTTTAACAAATCTTTTTTGATGAATACATTTGAGATACGTGTAATAAATACTATATGGGTTGTTTTGTCAAAATATAGATTTACAGATATAATAAATCATGATCTTTCAACTCGTTAGGCCATTTAATAACTCGCAGTATCACGATCAATCAACTAAGCGATTCTAATAAATGAATGTTTTCCTTCAAAGTGTAATATTCATAAAGGTAGATTATTTATTTAAACATCACTGGCCATAAGTATAGGCGATAAGTAGAAGTTTTCCAGCTAGATAGTGCATAGTTTATCGTCGATGTCAGTATCTCGAGAAGTTTGAAAAATTGTGATGTTATTAGACGCCTCTAGTATTTGTGAGACTCATATAAATCCATCAGTAAATGAAACATATCGATCGAAATCAAAAGTTTCTTGATACAGATAAGATAGACCATCTCATTCAATCCTAGTATGAATATCATCAGATGGTTCAATGGAATTAGTGGACTACAGTCATAAGGCAAGCCGTTCGAATCTAACTAAAGGAATAAGAACAAGAAATAGGAAGTGGTATCTAGTCAGCTGACGGAGGTGTGATATGATCGTATAGAGACAGTAGATGATAATGAGATAGATGGCAGATATAATATACCACCATGATGGTGAATTACGTTTTTTTCGAAAAACCATTAATAACGGCGGTTTCGACCGGTGCGAGAAAACCTAATAAAAGGTCTGACTTTCGCGGTTCAATTAAACCGCTGACACCAACGTCCTGGCGCACCGTGATATACCGCGGTTTAGATCAAAACATTTCTTCGTGGGTAGCCGATCGTAATAGTGCTTCAACAACGGAGCAACCGACATTCCATCCTGGTACAGCAAATTCTTGCAAATCTGTTATATGGTCATACTTTGTGTATTGATAAATATTTCATTAAGAGATTGAACAATTGCTCTCTTTACTGTTGTTGCGGATAGTTGACATCATGTTGAAAGAAAGGAAAAGTATACAGCTCCACGCGAACGGAGATCTGCTCGATAGTAGAAAGACCAATTGTAATCGAGAAATAAATGATCACGACAGTCTGTCTGTACAAAATTGCTTGAACAAATTGCATGAGATATGGTCTTGACGCTGATAGAATCTCGGTATTTAACCGAGATATTGTTACAAGGACACTGAAGCGATGTTGAATACACGATTATATACTTACTATAACCGAAGATAACTTACGAGGATCTTCTTGCTAAACGCGGTACCGATAAATGCATGATGTCCGAGTTTTTCGATTAATTTCAAATTGACTTATATAATCAGTGTAGAAACCAATATTAGTTTTTATCTGATAATCAAACGAACAAAAGGACGGACGACATTGTAAATAATAAGTCTCATACGAATAGGTGACATTCCAATTTTCGACCATTAAACCATCTAGAATTGATTCAGCTGGTGTTGTTACGTATATTGACTAGAAAGCGTCGAATTAGGTATGGTTGGAAAACGAGATATAGTCATATTGAAAATTGAAACTATGTTTTGTAAAATATGCTTAAAGTTGCTGCTCGCTGTCATGGTGTATGTGGGAGGTGTGTCTAGTCTTGTGGTATAAAAATCAGAATACGAGTAAAGTTGATCGACGCTAAAATATGCACTGAATGCCAAATTACTCACATATTGATTACTATGAAGTAGTGGTTTCGTCAAAGACATCCGATGAATGAACTCATTTTTCATCTGTTCAGTAAACGAGCTTATCGACGAACTCATCTGTATATGGAACAATTCATTGGATAAAACATAACCATTAGCGAAAGTGGTGGAGAGAAATTGGTCAATTCCGTTATTGACTGTTTCATTGGCTAATTCACAAAATGATACGAAGAAGCGCTGACAATGAAATTAAGTACCACATCGAGATGGCTGCCGAACGGCAAGCTTTGGTACCACCATGGTCGAACAAACTCATTCGAGCATATCTGATGGTATTCTACTTCGATCCGAACGAAATCGTCGTATGGAATAGCTATAGTTGACTACAAGGGCATCGGAATGTTAATGGATACTGTTCTAGTAGTTGATAATATTCCTTTAACGTTGGATTCATAATTTGTTCAGTGATAGTTTCGGCTAAAAGAGATGAATAGATAATAATGATAGTCATTGAGATGCCTAATAAGAGAAAATATAATCGTGTTGATAAACGACCATGGGTACACGCGCGTTGCATCGTGACAATATTTAGTATAGACGTTCAAACTCAGAACCTTACCTTTCATCTTCTTGAAAAATATTTTCAATAAATTTACAGACGTTTCATCTCTTTTTTCCGTCTTCCTACTTCGTCGAAAAGTGACACGATTGTTGTTATTGGATTGAACCCGCTTGGTTGCGATGAGTTCAAAATGGAAATATCGATCTTTTGATGATACTATGAAAGAAGAACATCGACACATGATTGCTCGTAAAAGCATATTCGGGTGACGCTGCAGATGTCGTTTGAAGTGGAAAACAATCAACGATCAGGCCAGGTAAAGTTCCACTGAATGGAATTTTATTCGTATTATATAATCCAAATTGTTCCGTCATGTTGTATATATAGATATTAGTAGGAAGTTGACAAGATTGATCATTTTCATAAGTGTAGATCTGCATCAGATACTTCTTACTTATCGCGTTGTAATAGATCGGGCGAAGGACTTAATTGTTTCCCAATGTGGTCAATAACTGATTTGCTCAGATGATATTATTCAGGATTCTCATCGATTGACTAACACGAACGGTTTCTATCTCGCAAAGTGATGTAACATTTGCTGCAAATATGAAATCAATCCATCTTTGCATGACGAAATCATTTGAACACACTTGGTGAAATACCGGCATCGTCTTCGCAAATCCTCCATACGAGATCGAAGGCATTCCATGTGAGCAGTTCCTCATACGCACGGTTCCTTATTGTGTTTATCCAATCCAGTAAAACCCATAACGAATTTATGATAGCGTTGTATACACTGCAGTAGTGGAATTGATATGGGAAACAAAATAAATTAATTCTTTTATTGAACATTTCTAAAAGTAAAGTATTCAAAGAAAACAAATTACTTTTCACATTGCTTGTTTTTTTAATGAATATCTTGAATGTAGACAAGCATAAAATAGTGAGAGTTATATCTTTGATCATCAAATATACAGCTTCGATAAAAGTATAGTTCATCGAGTATATCTATGCTATCGTGGGCGTTTTGCTTGAAAGCTCATTTCGTATCTGAGTGCAATTGTTACATGTATAAGATATTATACCTAATTGAATGACGAAGAAAAGAAATATGAGGAAAGCTAATGTCTTTCTTTATCGATGTCTTCTACTTGTACATGCATCGTCGTCATTATTTTGTCGATTCTTGCTGTAACTGCAATGAAAATAAACATGTAACAAAAACACATTTTCTCCTTATCGTTCGCTTCGGCGTTTCTTTTCAAACAGGTTATATTTTGATTTTCATCATTATATTTAACTATTATATACCTATAAAACATTGTCATAATTCGATGTCTGTCATTTCCACACGTGGCGACGATAGTCAAACGACGAGTGAGGACGTTGAGTTAACTCAGTTTGTCTACTCAATACAAATCGAAAACCACCAAGATGACAATCCAATCCCTTTCGGAATTCCTGTTTATTGCGATGCAGAACAAACAACATTCGAAGAAGTCGCTGGAATCTGTCCGAATAAAGACGATCAAAGTGCGAAGTCATTGACAATTCGCTCGTTCACTATCGGACTGATATTTCTTGGTGCAATGTCATTCTATCATATGTGGTATTATGTTACTAATCTATACGCTTATATCACTCCCGTTATGGTCATTCTACTATCGCATATTCTTGGTAGAGTATGGTCGAAGATAAACGCTGAGCCATGGACAATGAAAGAGCACACTATCGTTTTACTAATGGCAAATATTGCATGGACGTTTTCGACTGTTTATGACATATCAGTGATCAGTTATCTAGAATATCAGGAGCAAAGACCCTCTTTCAAGTTTGTTTACATGTTCTTCTTTGTTGCTTCCATCCAGTTTCTCGGTTTTGGACTAGCTGGTAGGTTCTCATCGCTGACGTGATTATTCTTTGTTGTTGAATGAGTAAATCTATAGGTATTCTTCGTCGTTTTCTCGTTTGGCCATCAAGTGAAGTATGGCCTTCGAATTTTCCTTCCATTGCTTTATTACGCATTTTGCATCAGAATCAAACTAATGGTCGGTCGAATGTATATGGCGATTGTAACCAGTTGACTTTGTGGCAAAAGTTTCTCTCCAATCAGCTTCTCTTCTATTTCACAATTATGACCGCTCAGTTCATTTTCTACTGGCTTCCAGGTTATATGATTCCTGTGCTGAGCGGTATGTCGTGGATCTGTATGATCAAGCCAAGTGACTACACACTTGCTCAGCTGACCGATTTCCGAGGTTTGAGTCTTGGTTCGTTTTCACTCAATTGGTTTTCATTGACTTATTTTCTTGAGACTCCACTGGTNTCCAATCAGCTTCTCTTCTATTTCACAATTATGACCGCTCAGTTCATTTTCTACTGGCTTCCAGGTTATATGATTCCTGTGCTGAGCGGTATGTCGTGGATCTGTATGATCAAGCCAAGTGACTACACACTTGCTCAGCTGACCGATTTCCGAGGTTTGAGTCTTGGTTCGTTTTCACTCAATTGGTTTTCATTGACTTATTTTCTTGAGACTCCACTGGTTGTTCCGCGATGGGCTTTAGTTAATATCAGTATAGGTTTTGTTATTGTTGCATGGATTGTCACACCAATTATCTACTTTCGAAATGTTTGGAATGTGCGTCAAAACTCAATTTCTTCAAGCACAGGTTCCGTAACGAGTTGGTCTGCAATGGAACTAGTGACAACTTTCACGACGGTTGCTAGTCTATCAGCTGTGTTTGTTCACATGTTTCTCCATCATGGAAAAAGTCTATGGGATCAAATTAGAAACAGATCTCTGGATCAGAAAGGCAACGACATTCATTGTCGACTTATGGCATTGTATCCAGATGTGCCCGATTGGTGGTTTCTCATTGTTTTTGTCATCGCTGTGGTGGTGATCATGATAGTGTCAGATGTGTCACATATGTTGGAATGGTATAATGTCCTGTTCGCACTCAGCATACCGATGACACTTGTTCTACCATTTGGAATGGTCACATCCATCACTGGTCAGCTCATACAAAATCAGGCAGTCTACTTTGTGATGGTGATAGTGGTGAGTTCACTTTGGGCAGGTGATCAGTCGAAGATGATGACATTCATTGCTATTGGTTACACCGCATATTGTCAAACATTATATCTGGTGTCAAATATGAAACTAGGTCACTACATGAAGATTCCTCCTCGTGTGCTATTTATCGTTCAAGTAGTGACTTGTTTGGTTTGCAGTTCAGTGGGTGCAGGTGTCCAGTATTATTTCTATGCAGTGAAACGGTATTATGAACAGGTAGGTGCGTATAAATTTGAATCGATGTTCGACTTATCACATGTGGGTTCGACTGTGGTTAATAATACGAGCTTTTTCAATTCTACTACGTCAAACAATCGCTCTTTCCTCTGGTCTCTGGTGGTAGGTGCTGTACTACCCATTCCTTTCTGGTTGGCTAGTCGTCGATACAGATGGTGTCATCTTNATTATTTCTATGCAGTGAAACGGTATTATGAACAGGTAGGTGCGTATAAATTTGAATCGATGTTCGACTTATCACATGTGGGTTCGACTGTGGTTAATAATACGAGCTTTTTCAATTCTACTACGTCAAACAATCGCTCTTTCCTCTGGTCTCTGGTGGTGGGTGCTGTACTACCCATTCCTTTCTGGTTGGCTAGTCGTCGATACAGATGGTGTCATCTTGTTCACACTCCGTTGATTTTAGCAACTGTGTCATGGATGCCGCTGGTAGACGCGGGTACTTTGTTAACGTGGCTAATCATTGGTCTCTCTGCAGCAGTATTAGTGAGAAGAGAATGCTGGAATGAATTTTGCATTAGTGGTGATCGGTTGACCATTGGTATGGTATAACGTGACTTTTCCTACTTGGTGGGGAACAGGTGGAGATAGTGGAACGGGATGTCCATTCTCGAAAGCGAATCCTGCTCTAGCGCAAAGTTTCGATCCAGGAACGTATGGAACGTAGAAGAGAATGAAACTCGTCACGTGTGATCATTCGCTGCTGTCGAGAGATGTATTATTCACGCATACGAAGCACCAGTTTCTTCATGAAATCATCCATTGAGATAAATAAGGTAGTAGCGAATATTACTCTGTAAACTAATAATGAACTACAAATTTAACTTCGTAATTCATCAAATAAAAATGAAATCCAAGTTTTAAAAATGTCTAAATCGATGCATCTTGAGAATCAACTATGGCGTTTATCTCGATTGCAATATATAGTGAAAAAACATGCTTCAATTGTCGACGCAGAAAAATACATATAGAATGAACTCCCAATGAAAATCGAATGATCAAAAATATTGAGAAATGTATAAAGTAGGCTGACACAGCGATTTTAGATGCCAGTTGAAAGTACCATTATTGTCAAATTCGCGTCGCACCAATGGTATAGCTCGATAGGATATTCCAATAAGCTAAAAGGCGAAAGACAACCACGATACAGATAGAGAGTGTTCTTCCAAGAGTAAGAAGAACAACATAACTGACATGTTGTTGGAAGTAATTATTTGTTATTGAACAAAGTGGTTTGCCCAAGCTCTTTTATATGAAATGATCGAGACGATCATATTCAAAACCGTCAATAGCACGATCAAATAAAGTCACCAGACTCAAATAGATTGTCATCTGCTATTCAGAAACGACAAGCGCAGCGGTATTTGATGATGACCTTCTGACAACTGTCACTTTTCTCTTGCTACCTTTGTTATCAAAGATAATTGTATAATATCGTTAAGCAATAATCTTTCATTAACACATAAAAAAGAACGATCGGCATCTTCAATTTGAATACAATACATATTCTCATATCACTGAAATGATTAAATATGTAATGAATTATGATCTGGATCATTGGAATTGGTATCAATGTGGTTTATTGATGTTAGATCTGTGTAACCGGGTCAAAACAGAAAAGTATATTAGCAAAATGCATAATTTTCAATCAATGACAATGGTAGTGGCAATGCCGGAACATTGAAGTTTTGGACGTTCGATGAACATGGAAGTTCATCTTCTTTTTATGGGGGAAGTGTTATGAAATATTCATTACAACATAAAATAAGGAATTATCCAACATGTTTCTTTTCTTTCTTTTCCTTTCGGATCTCTTATACACATGTTTGCTCGTTCTGTCTGTTAACCTCGATAGGTGTTCTATTGGTCTTTTCCTAGTGTTCATCTATGTGTNCCGGAACATTGAAGTTTTGGACGTTCGATGAACATGGAAGTTCATCTTCTTTTTATGGGGGAAGTGTTATGAAATATTCATTACAACATAAAATAAGGAATTATCCAACATGTTTCTTTTCTTTCTTTTCCTTTCGGATCTCTTATACACATGTTTGCTCGTTCTGTCTGTTAACCTCGATAGGTGTTCTATTGGTCTTTTCCTAGTGTTCATCTATGTGTGATAGTAAAGGTATTTTCCAAGGTAAACATATAGTGGAAATAACCAATGGTCATAGGTATATATACGGACCATATTTCTTATGTGAACAGAGCTTTTACTTATCGAATTGGTGGTATTTTAGTCTTCAATAAAGTTATTGAAAAAGACTAACAAACTATTCTTTAATTTCAAATCCTGAAGCAAAATCTCTTTAGAAACTTCTACTATACTAAGAGTATAAATGAAATCTATTCCATATCTGACAGTTCTTTTTTTTCATACATATTCAATGATTTTCGAAAAATAAGGCTATAGAAATCATGAAAAACAACAGTTAAATAATAACCGAATCTTTTATTTACTTTGAAAAACGTGTGTGAGTGTAATGAATGAATTTTTAACGAAAAGAATTATTAAGTGAATGTAAAAATATTCAGGTGATGTTATCAACTTTGATCGAAGAAATATTATGATTTTAGTTCAGGATGAAAGAAATACCTGCAAAATAAACATTTGAATGAATAAATCAATCAAAAATAATAGAAATATGTTATTGATTTTAATAGCATGAATAAGTATTGAGAGAAACAGCGAGAAGTGAGAAGAAGAAAAAAATCATTCATCAGTATGTCTACATCGATCACATAAAAAACAGCTATATGCAACTAATCATTGCCTTTATTTTGATCATATTTCTTTTATCTGTAAAAGGTTTGTAAGATTATCGTTTTCTATTTCAATATATCACAATTCCAAAATGAATTCTAGGACAAATTCCACAACTACCGAATTATTCTTGTAATGAAAATGATGTTTCTATTCAATTGACATTATCTTCATTATCTCATTCAGCATGGAATTCAATATCAAATTGTTCATTACAACAATGTAATGTAAACTCAAATAATAATAGTTGTTTTTCATCATCAACACATTGTTTTGATTATCGATCAATAAATAATACTCGTTATTGTGCACCTGCTATTTCATGTTCAATATTAGAAAGATGTGATAATATTACACAAACATGTTCAACAAATAATTCAATATGTGTTATTAATTCATGTTGTTCATCACAAGCAGTATGTTTACCACTCGTGACAACAACTATGTGTGAAAAAGGTACTATTGTATAGAGTAGGAAAAATAGTTGAGGAATAGAAAACGCTGTAATTTGACTAAAATTCACATGTTTCTAGGTAGACAGAATAGAGAATTTATTTATAATTAAATTTAAAATATGATTAGAATAGATGAATGTCGAGTAGTCGATGATATGATGTTATATATCATGTAAATATATAAAGATGTATCTTCTAGGATGGTTGTATACAAACAATATGACTAATGCACGAACTCAGCATAAAGCGTCTGTATTACCAAATGGGCGAATATTAATTACTGGTGGATACACTGGTAATAATGTCGCTTTAAATACTGCTGAATTGTATGACCTACCAACAGGTACTTGGATAACTACTGGTCGCTTGGCTGATGCACGATGGATTCACACATCATCTGTATTGTTAGATGGAAAAATATTAGTCGCCGGTGGATTCAATGGGAATATTAGTTTAAATAGTGCTGAGTTGTATGATCAATCAACTGGTACTTGGACAACTACTGGTAACATGACTCATACACGACATGTTCACACAGCATGTACATTATCAAGTGGGCTTGTGCTAGTTACTGGTGGATTAGATAATAGCGGGTTTGCTTTGAATACTGCGGAGCTATATAATTCGTCAACAGGCACTTGGACAAGTACTGGTAATACGATTGATACGCGCTATTGGCATACAGCATCTGCATTGTCAAATGGGAAAGTATTGGTTACTGGTGGCGAAGCTGGTGGTGCTTCGAATACTACTGAATTGTATGATTCATCAACAGGTACTTGGACAGCTACTGGTTACATGATTACTGCAAGATATGCTCACACAGCATCTGTATTGTCAAATGGAAAAGTATTAGTTACTGGTGGATTTAATAGTATTGCTTTAGATAGTGCTGAATTGTATGATCCATCAACAGGTACTTGGGCAGCTACTGGAAATATGAGTGATGCACGATATCTTCATACAGCATCCGTATTATTAAATGGAAAAGTATTAGTTACTGGCGGATTTAATAGTATTGCTTTAGATAGTGCTGAATTGTATGATCCTTCAACAGGTACTTGGACACATATCGATAGTATGGCTAATCCACGATTTTTTCATACAGCAAGTGTATTATCAAACGGATTAATATTGATTGCTGGTGGAGATAATAATAATGCTTTGAATAGTGCAGAATTATATTAACTACTTTAAACAAATTAACTTTTATTTATCTTATTTTTTTCTTACCAGTATTCTACATTCTATCTTAATGGCGAGTTACAAGACTAATAAATATCCTCAACTGTAGAGAGAGTCATATGGCGTATTTTTTGGATACCTATGGGTTCTCAAGGCTTATATAGGGCGAAGAGGAGTATTCATGTGTCCTCGTGTGGCGCATTTTGAGGATATACAGGAGTCGTTAGTTCGTACTATCATTCACACGGAAAAATAGTTTTTTCTTACATAATCAAGGATTAAGTGAGTCGCGATGACGAACAGCACGTGTTTCAATAATAGCAATGCGTTTATTTCCACATGTCACATGTTTCGACTATGCGCTCGTATAACAACACTAATTCAGAAATGTTTTATAAAAGTTATTTTTACTGAGAGAGCAACAGAAAGTGAACATTTTTAGAATAGAGATGTGAACTGATAAATGTGCAATGTGAGATTATACTGAAGTTTGTAAAATGAGTTTAGAATAAAAAATATAAATCCAATTATGATGGAATTTCAATAACACTGATGTTTATACACAAACAGATGTGTATATATTTTTCATAAGATACTTATTATGAGTTCTTCATGTTAAATAGAAGTAGTTGATGAAATTATTTTTCTCTTATTTTGCGTATTAAAAGGTTAGAACAATCATTGGAGATTATTTCATCTTCATTATTTTTGCAATATTTTAACATATATTTAGAAATTCGTAAGATTCGATTATAAAAATTTCAACCTGTCATTCAACCTATTGCTCGAAGGAGTGAAAGTATGAGAATATCGTAGATATTAAAGAAAATCCTGTTATAGATGACGCGAAGATGATTTTCACGGATAAAAAAATGTACCAAGTCAATTTTTTTTATTGACTTCATTTTGACAACTTAGAACATTATTAATTATTGTAAATGCTCATAATAGAAAAATAATAAAGTTTTCTTTTGGTCTATTACATTCTATTCATTAAATTTCCTCTCAAACATAATCTGACATATTCAGAACGTGTATTCCTGATTATTCTTATTATTTCAACACCTTTCTGATCTCACAATTATTTAATAATATTCTTTAGCTTTCAGTAACACTAATTTACTCTAAGTGTTTTTTTGTATACTTCCTTGGTATAATCTTTGGTCAATGCGACATCAACAACAACAGCAAAATCAACAAGTAAATCCAATTTACAAACTTCAGCAATAGTGGTAAAATAAGCTATCATATGACTTATACTCAACTCATGTGATTCCAGATCAAAGTAATTTAATATAAGAGCACTTTTAATGACATATACATAATATAGTATCTTCTTATAGCTTTAATTGTAATTATATTAGTAATATATGATAAAAACTTTAGAAAAAGACCAGAAAAATGCAAAAGAATTCAGGTAAATGAATATGTTCAAAAAATTTAAAACAAAGGAACAATGAAGAAACTAACAAAGAAGCAAAAAACCAAACAAACAAATCTACCATACTGTTCTTATTNTAAGAGCACTTTTAATGACATATACATAATATAGTATCTTCTTATAGCTTTAATTGTAATTATATTAGTAATATATGATAAAAACTTTAGAAAAAGACCAGAAAAATGCAAAAGAATTCAGGTAAATGAATATGTTCAAAAAATTTAAAACAAAGGAACAATGAAGAAACTAACAAAGAAGCAAAAAACCAAACAAACAAATCTACCATACTGTTCTTATTAAATGAATTATTCGACTAAATTAGAAATAAAAAGAAAGAGAATAAAGTTTATAAGTTACAATCATTTAAATATATATACCTGAAATGTCTTCACTCATGGTATAAGCTAATTTTGTTATCGCCAAACAATCATTAACAGCATATTGAACCATAGATAAGATTTTACTATTAGAATTGTTATTATTTTTCGATAGATCAAGACTACAACTCCAGACACTTAATGTTTGATCTTTGTTTAAGAACTGTTGATATGTTGAAGCAACAGCACATTGTGAAGCCCATAGGTTTTCGCCTCCATATGCATAAAAACCAACAAGACCGTTATGCCATTCACGAAATTCATCTTGTACATTAATTTTAGTTGGTTTTTCTAACTGATTCGATGTAAAAAGCCGATATGGTAGAAATTTCTTTAGTTCATCATTGAGATCTCCCCATGAATAGATAATATTTGATTTTTGAAACATATAAGTGTTGGTGATTTGTTCTCGAAAATGTCCAGGATCTGTTGAGGGAAAATCACCACGTAATCTTGGATTTTATGTATGAATATTTCCATACACTTTCACGGTATTTTCCTTTCCTTCACATGCGTCAATATATATGTATATATATATGCAAGTATGTGATTTGCTCTTGTGTTACTTCTACCTATTCTGTTCTCGTTCACAGCTATATTTGCTATTCTGATTTCTCTTCTCGTTCGTTTCCAAGTTCCTCTTCCTTTACAAATAAACGAGAGGTTTTCCCTTACATTTCGGAAAACCTACAGTTCCGTCTCAAGGTTATCATTCTTTTCGCTTTCTCCTTTTATCTTTCCTTCTTTTATTTTTTATCCCCTTCTCCTCTCTCTGACTTAAGAGGGAGAAAGGGCAGCTATATGATAGAAATTTGTCAAAAATCAAACACTTTCTAATGGTTCTTTTTGCTTAATGCAACTGTAACTCATGCAAACTATGCAGCTTGTTAGGCTTATATTGCAAGTGTATTAACTGTGAAGTGCTTCCGAGCAGTACACTCTTATGAATAGCTTAAATAAAAAACAAAAGAAGAGGTACAGTTTTTTTATTATTTAAATTAATTATCTAAATATCTTTTGACGCAGGAATTGAACGTAAAAGAACCACAATTTGATCACACGTAATGGAACATATATGACCTTGTCATTGCTGATCTTCCTCGCTCCAACAATGCTGTTGAAGGATGCCACAATGCATTTGCCAATCGTGTTGCTATCTCTCATCCGACAATCGTCAAATTAACCGACCAAATTCGTCGTGAACAATCAAAATTTGAAATAGACATCGCTCAAATTTTTCAAGCTCATCAAACAAAACCAAAAGAAGCTTGTTATCGTAAACTCGACGAACGTGTCTCACGTCTAGCGCTTGCTTATGACCAATCAAAAATTGATCAATATTTAAAAAATATTTCTTGTAACATTTCTTTGTAAAAAAATTAATTTTTTCTCTTACTTTCTCTTGTTTCATTACATATGTTTTCAATTTGTTTATAAAATTCACAAACAAATTAACATCTTCCTCTTCTTCTCAATGAAGAGAGCGCTATGCGACGAATTCTCATCCAACGAATTGAGTGCAACGAATTGATCGACCACCAAGTGATCGCTGACAACAAAAAAATGTTTCCTCTACAATCCCGCTGCTACCTTCGATAAAATTTTTAAATATATCCAATATCTTTTTCAATGTTATTCGTCACAAGATCTATGCAAAGAATTGAAAACTTTTCAAACTGTGCTCATTTGATTGCAGATGATGTTATTTCAATTATTTTGAAAGAAATTTAATCAATTGATAGATTATCGGCCTGACCACGTAATTATAGTCTTTCGTGAGTGAAGTCGAAAGCGAAATCGAACTGACAGTGTCTATGCCAATCTAATGGCCGTAGACTAAGGTGTTGGAAATAAATCTGCAGATCATCGAGAAACAATTGTGCTTTAGAAGGGAAGCGCGCAGGGAGATAAGTCTCCCTACACTCGCTATGAGCTGAGGTATACCCGTTGTTTCTTTGTGCCTCGTACCCGGACAGAGAGCAATCCTTTTCTCTTCCGTGTTCCACAGTCTCGTAGAGTTGGTGGACTCTAGTTAACCGACATAGTTGGAAAAGTTTTCAGTTCTTTCTTCTGTTGAAATGATCAGTGCTTAGACACTCCCATCTGAGCCGTCCATGCATCACGATTTTTGAATCATTATTTCTTCTTTGCGCCGTGAGGTGACACTTCGCGACCATATTGCATAGATACTCTTAGGCGTACTGTTCCAAGGACGATGGTTTCTGTCGGTTGCGACCCGAACCAAATAAATTCGGTCATTGGATCCTCCCATCAGGATTACTCATTTCATGAAATTTTCGGAATACCAGGGAATGGGCCGTTTCCGTGCCGGATTGTTCGACCTGGGTTCAGTGTTCTCGTTGTTTTTTTCAATGAGTTTTATGATTTTTCTGTATTGAAATGCGTGTCAACAGTCAAAAAATTGTCATTGCTATGTTTTATCTGTACCATTGTGTTAGTTTTCTTTTATGAAAGTGCACTGTACGTTCACTATATAATGTATTTGAAACATGAAGCTTTCTCACTCCCAGTAAAAGAAAAGAAATCAATTTCATAGATTAGTATTCATCTCTCGCTTGAGTCGGATTCACTATAAGAAACGAATCAATGAGAAAATTACCAAAGTGCATTAATGCACGTCATGGTACGCGTACCATTAGCGAAACTATCGACATGGGCGGACAAAGTGATTGTAGACGCCAGCTGAAGTTGGGCTCCAGTGGTTTTATCTTGAGTAATTGTCGACACTATGGATAGAAGATAAACAATGAAGTATGGAGCAACAGAAAGGAAAGTGATGATAATTTGAAAAAGAGCCATTTTGGTAAATTGTTTTTCAAGTTTATGTCGCACGAATGGTAAAGTTCGATAGGCAATTCTCCGGATGTTCCAATAAGCTAAAAGCCCAAAAACAACTGTAATCCAGATAGGGAGAATTCTTCCAAGAGTAAGAAGAATAACATAATTGACATATTGTTGGAAGAAATTGTTTATTGCTGAACAAGTTGGTTTGCCCGTGCTCTTCGACACGACATGATCATAACAGATCAAATATGAAATATTATGAACGATGCAAACGATCATATTCAAAACCGTTAACCGATGCGCGATTGTCATGTTACTCCACTGTTGATATCGAGGACGAGAACTTGTGGCGAGATATTGATCGATCGTTGCCAAACATAGACTAGTCAACAATGTTAATGAAAACAATTGTCGGAGATATAGTCGAAATTTACAATAAAATAATGATTTTTTCATTCAATCAACACCGAATCCAGTCGCAACTATTCGATTAGGCACAGTCGAGACTAACTGGCAAACATTGATGATTTACATAAAAGCTAAATGAAATCCTGATAAACTTTCTCGAAAACTAAAAAGAACTATTGTATTTCAAAGTCCACCGACAACACCAACAACAAATAATGCCACTGAACCCAAATAGATTGTTATCTGCTGTTCAGAAACGACAAGCACAGAGGTATATGATGATGACATTTTGGTGAGGTAACTTATTGTTGTAAGTGCGATGTTCTGTCGACGGCTAGAGTTCCGATATACTCTCTTTTCTTTTCTTTTTACGAACTTTAGCAGCATACCCAAGTGTGTAATCTTCATAAGAAACAATTGTTAATTAGCATACTTTTTACACATGAAAGCGAATAACCAATATCATTAATTCGAATGTAATACATACTGTGAGATTCATGTGAAATCCAAAAATGTTCTCATGCTATAATTTTATGATCCAATTCGTTCTTCTTTTTTCCTCGCCAATCAATTTTCTATTATGTCCTTATTCTCGTTCTTCATTCACAGTTACGTATACTAGATGGTATATGCTCTATGGCTTGAGAAGAGAAGGTATGGTAAACATCGCTATGGTTACCACCAATGACAGGAGTAAATTTTTTGTCATAGCAACCATTCTGGTTGTATGTTAACCCTTTACGGCCGGCTACCAGTAGACATCAAGCAAAAAGTTATCTTTCTGTATATTCCTTGTCGTTTAGTTATAGGCATCAATTTTTCACGGTCGACTTTCTAAAAAATGACGTACCCCCTATGGCAAAGCTGTCACTTTTCGCAGCACCCGGCTGTAAAAGGTTAAAAGAAGCAGGCTTTCATTTTTGTAATACACAATCACAAAATTAACCTTGTATGAGAAGGTAACGAGTGTAAAATGTAATCAGAAAATATATTAACCTCGTCCGATCCACGGGTAACTCAGCCATCTCTTGTTTTTACCTCTATATTAGAATAAAGCAAAAGTCATAGAGGGTAAACAGGTGAAGCTCAAAGATGTCTGCTTACTCGAGTAGAATCAATTATCATCTTCAAAAAACGATACATGTATTCTGAATACAAACTGACTCAATGATATTTCTAAATTATTGATTCTTCGAAGGCAAAATAAAGTGTTATTCGTTGTCAAGTCAAAGATGACTAAATGTGTCTTGCTTGCTATATATCGCTTGCTTTGCCTTCCATTATCTGTATACCTTAAGTTATTTAACTTTTTCGTTTAATTAGGAAATGACGAACAATTTAACCATCATTGTTTGATCTTTGACGAGGTTGCCATTGGCAACTATCTTTAAATGATAATACACCGATGATGCCGAGTTTAGCAAGAGCAGTAGCTTAAAACAGCGCAGTAATAATAATTTTGAATCAACACTTCAAAACGATTTGAAACATACGGGGAATCCGATGTGGACGGTATGAAATACGGTGGCTCCCGTCAAACTTTACCTCCATGGCGATTGCGAGCATTAAAATAGTTGTAAGATAAGAGACGACTGTGTTGCTGGTATCAGTTTATTTTAGACTTTTTGTGGAATCGACTGAATTTTCCACTTCTAACTCCATGAACTGTTGAAATGTCAGTATGCTTCATATCTATTCGTTTTGTAAGAAAAAAAAAAACAAGAAAAAAACGAGTGTCGAATTGATCGATGACTGTGGTTCCGAAGAACCGAAAGATATGCTTCTGTCTCATAACTTCAGAGTTGTGTTTAGCCATCGATCACGGCTCGTCTCTTTCATTCCTTATCGTGATCTTATTTATGTTGCACAGGGTTGCAGATGGTGCAATTCTTTCTTTCTTTTCTTTACAACATACGAAAGACAGATTACGAAATCACCGAGAATAAAATAGCAATCTCCGACGGGTGATAAACTATGATGTCACTGTCATTTTGTAACAATAAATAGATTTTTCCACTCAACTGCAAAAGATGATCTATGGATTAACGTCACTTTTCTCATGTACTGAGTAGAATGGTTTGTTTCGCCTAATTGACTACGCATTGTGTAAAAAAACTCGACTTTCATCACATCTTGATAGAAAATTTGCATTATGAAATCTAAAATCAAATTCATTTCATTCAATGAATGATAGAAAGAACCACTATAAATACCATCAGATCTATTCCATTTCCAAGAGTAATCACCTTTTGGTGAGAATCGTTCTGATAATAATAACAGTACGCCGCTGGGATTAGATTCACGTCATCTCGCTCCACATTTCGCGGACAAAATCTTTGATATTATAAAAGTACTCATTTTCTCTCAAAACCACAACAACAGAGAATGTCGACAAGTAACAACACTTCAATTCAACCATCGAACACCGTTTTTCTTGCTAGCACCATAGCAAGACGATATATCATTCATTTACCAGTAATATTCGTCGTTTTGGGTTTCATCGGCTTTCTTGGTAATACGTTAACGTACCTTCAAAAAGATATACGAACAAATCCATGCAGCATTTATTTATTTTGTGGTTCTATCGCAGACATTACCACTCTTCTTTACAATATGCTGGGAAACTACTTAGCCGCAGTTCACGGAGTTTATATTCCATGGGTAAAACTACCGAATTTGTGCAAATTTTATAGTTACTTTCTTGGATTACTTCCTCATTTATCCATCAACTTTCTCGTAATGGCAATCATTGATCGATATGCATCGACATGTACTTTAACAGTTTGTATACGTCGTCTCAATGATGTGAAAATGGTTCCATGGTTAATTGGTCTAAGCATTCTCCTCAGTTTTATCTCTTCTATCCGATCATTGATTCTCTATGATTATCAAGACGGAAAAGGATGTGTCCCCACTCAACCATTATTGAACAATATTCTCTACACGATAATCAACGGTACAATACAACCAGTAACCATGTGTATCTTTGTTTTCCTTACATTTCGAAATGTTCGTCAAAGTCGTCAAAGAGTAGTGAGTTTCTTGATTGATCAATCGATGAACACGAATTCGTTTTTCTTTCTCAGTCAGGTGCCGGCTTAGTCAATCCCAGGCGGACTCGAAATCAATTCATCAGTATGATTCTAACACAAATATTAGCCACATGTCTAATATCTTTACAATGGATGATCATGTATATTTACTATTTTATTCCCGTTCAAACTCCGAGAACCGCTGAACAACAGGCGATTGTGAGTTTCTTTTATTCACTCACAAACTATTGTTACTATTTGAATAACGTCAAGTCGTTTTATCTTTCAATGCTAACGTCAAATTTGTTTCGTAAAACGTTCGTTAAAGCATTCATCAAGTTCTTACCTCGACATCAACATCAACGATAGCGTTTCCCTCAAACAAATGTCTCTACGATGACTGTAACTAAAATAAATCCCTAACGAATCGCATGATGTATAATGAAAATGTCTTTTGAACGTGACTTTTCTTTTCCCTTCATGTTGTTCGTACTAACATTTCTTAGTCATGACGGGTGAGTGTCTTCGATAGGTGAAGACATCCACGTCTTAGTAGTGTACCAGTTTTTTTAGCGATATAATCGTCAGCAAAGTGCATCAATCTTATAGATTCTTGTTTATTAAAATGTCTCTCAAGTTCATGTTAGGCTTCAAATATGATGCATTAATTGAATGCGGCAAGAAGATTTCGGTTTATTTGATCAACTTCGTGAACCGGCACCAGAATACTAAGCTTTGATACCCTTTTACAAATGTCACCTGCTGTTTGAAGTATAATCTTATGTCCTACACTAAAATAAATAGCATTTTTCGGTGATCCAGTTATATTATATGCAGAACCAAGAGTTCTCTCGCTATCACTTATGATTTCGACAAACTGATGTTCACTGGGTGCGCGTGCAGCTATCAACTGTTCTACTTGTTCTTGAGTAATGCCATCAATGACAGGAATGTTCTTTGAAACAGCGAAGCAACTCCTGCTCGATGCGGATGCCATGAGCTATTATCACTAATCAAAACGCTTTGAGGCATGAATTCGGGACAACGTTCTTTGAGAACATCGATTATTTTCATAAAAACTGGATTTTCACAAAAAGTTGAGTAATCATTAGCATTGACAGTCTTATAATACAGGAATAAATACTTACTTTAGCAACAGGTTCGAGCGTATTGTAATCGAAAACGATCATCGATGCAACAGCTTTACCATTTGCTTGGAGAAAATTAATCGTCAATGTGGTCAACATGGACTTCAATCGACGAAGTAACACGTTCTCGTCTACTGGAAGATTGGCTAATTAAGACAAATTAAATATTTAAACACACGTAGATAATTGTTACTTACTCCTCCTTTTGATCAAATTCAATTATGTCTTTTTGATTGTGTTGTCCAAACTAGGGGTGTTAATTTATCTTTACTTTATTCTTTATTTAAAGAAAAGTAAAGAAAAAGTGACATATCTAATTTTTCAGCCAAGTGTGCGATTGTATGTTAAGTCACAAAATGAACCTAATCTTAGGTAAAGTGTAACATCCTGTCTCACGAAATAACTCCCTGTTAATTTAATTTGTGAATATTAAAAAAATTATTGCGTTTTGTCAAAAATTGTAAAAAAATTCTTTATTCTTTATTTAAAGCAAAATAAAGATAAAGTAACACCCCTAGTCCAAACACATGCTATTGATTTCCATTGAACTTGCTTTGCGAGCAAGATGTAGTTGTTGTACTCGAACTATAAGACTTTTAAAATCAATTCCACTATTCTTTATACTGATCAGACGTGGAACTTTCAATTGAATTGAATCAAATAAAACTGTCTCTGTTTCTCGATCGTATTCCATCCCACTAGCCATTAATTCTGCAATCAATTTGCTACGATTCCAGCTCGGATTAGTCCAATTAATAATATTCGTCATATTGATTGTGGTCTTTCGAAATTTTAAATAATCTTCAATAGCCAAAACTAGAGCAGAAAATCTCAGACAGGGATCGATAGGTTTTTGATTTGATTGTATTTGTGTCAATCTCACCATACAGTCCAGAATCATTTCATCTGTTATGTTTTCATCGTGGGAATAGGAATTCTCAATTACTTCAGCAACTGCTGGATGTAACGGAAAATAAAGAATGGATTGGTTGGCAACGACACCGTTCGATCTCTTTTTCAATTGTTCATTCAATTTTAATTGCACTCTACGTGCCAAATCCACTACAGATATACGTTGGTTTTCCATACTTTCATCCCATAAAGGTGTTACTCCAAGAAACAATTTACTTGGACAAGAGTGCTGACCTAAATTGATTACATATCCAGAAATATATATATCAGATGGCATACGGGACGCATTTAAAAGATCTTCNTTTCAGAAAACCTACAGTTCCGTCTCAAGGTTATCATTCTTTTCGCTTTCTCCTTTTATCTTTCCTTCTTTTTTTCTTTTATTTTTTATCCCCTTCTCCTCTCTCTGACTTAAGAGGGAGAAAGGGCAGCTATATGATAGAAATTTGTCAAAAAACAAACACTTTCTAATGATTCTTTTTGCTTAATGCAACTGTAACTCATGCAAACTATGTAGCTTGTTAGGCTTATATTGCAAGTGTATTAACTGTGAAGTGTTTCCGAGCAGTACACTCTTATGAATAGCTTAAATAAAAAACAAAAGAAGAGGTACAGTTTTTTTATTATCTAAATTAATTATCTAAATATCTTTTGACGCAGGAATTGAACGTAAAAGAACCACAATTTGATCACACGTTATGGAACATATATGACCTTCTCATTGCTGATCTTCCTCGCTCCAACAATGCTGTTGAAGGATGCCACAATGCATTTGCCAATCGTGTTGCTATCTCTCATCCGACAATCGTCAAATTAACCGACCAAATTCGTCGTGAGCAATCAAAATTTGAAATAGACATCGCTCAAATTTTTCAAGGTCATCAAACAAAACCAAAAGAAGCTTGTTATCGTAAATTCGACGAACGTGTCTCACGTCTAGCGCTTGCTTATGACCAATCAAAAATTGACCAATATTTAAAAAATATTTCTTGTAACATTTCTTTGTAAAAAAATTCATTTTTTCTCTTACTTTCTCTTGTTTCATTACATATATTTTCTATTTGTTTATAAAATTCACAAACAAATTAACATGTTCCTCTTCTTCTCAATGAAGAGAGCGCTATGCGACGAATTCTCATCCGACGAATTCAGTGCAACGAATTGATCGGCCACCAAGTGATCGCTGACAAAAAGAAAATGTTTCTTCTACAATCCCGCTGCTACCTTCGATACATTTTTTTTAAATATATCCAATATCTTTGTCAATGTTATTCGTCACAAGATCTACGCAAAGAATTGGGAAAATTTTCAAACTGTGCTCATTTGATTGCAGATGATGTTATTTCAATTATTTTGAAAGATATTTAATCAATTGATAGATTATCGGCCTGACCACGCAATTATAGTCTTTCATGAGTGAAGTCGAAAGCGAAAACGAACTGACAGTGTCTATGCCAATCTAATGACCGTAGACTAAGGTGTTGGAAATAAATCTGCAGATCATCGAGAAACAATTGTGCTTTAGAAGGGAGGTAAGTCTCCCTACACTCGCTATGAGCTGAGGTATATCCGTTGTTTCTTTGTGCCTCGTACCTGGACAGAGAGCAATCCTTTTCTCTTCCGTGTTCCACAGTCTTGTAGAGTTGGTGGACTCTAGTTAACCGACATAGTTGGAAAAGTTTTCAGTTCTTTCTTCTGTTGAAATGATCAGTGCTTAGACACCCCCATCTGAGCCGTCCATGCATCACGATTTTTGAATCATTATTTCTTCTTTGCGCTGTGAGGTGACACTTCACGACCATATTGCATAGATACTCTTATGCGTACTGTTACGAGGACGACGGTTTCTGAAGCAGGATTCCACGAATTTCCGACAAAGTCGCTGAGGAAACTCGTCATTTCCGATCGGAACCCATCCGGAAAATACTAAGAATCCGATGGAGAAATATGATAACCGTTTCGGGCTACCAGTTTGGACATGTTTCTGTCGGTTGCGACCCGAACCAAATAAATTCGGTCATTGGATCCTACCATCAGGATTACTCATTTCATGAAATTTTCGGAATACCATGGAAAGGGCCGTTTCCGTGCCGGATTATTCGACCTGGGTTCACTGTTCTCGTTGTTTTTTTTAATGAGTTTTATACTTTTCTGTATTGAAATGCGTGTCAACAGTCAAAAAATTGTCACTGCTATGTTTTATCTGTACAATTGTGTTAGTTTTCTTTTATGAAAGTGCACTGTACGTTCACTATATAATGCATTTGCAACATGAAGCTTTCTCACTCCCAGTAAAAGAAAAGAAATCAATTTCATAGATTAGTATTCATCTCTCGCTTGAGTCGGATTCACTTTAAGAAACGAATCAATGAGAAAATTACCAAAGTGCATTAATGCACTTCATGGTGCGCGTACCATTAGCGAAACTATCGACATGGGCGGACAAAGTGATTGTAGACGCCAGCTGAAGTTGGGCTGCAGTGGTTTTATCTTGAGTAATTGTCGACACTATGGATAGAAGATAAACAATGAAGTATGGAGCAACAGAAAGGAAAGTGATGATAATTTGAAAAAGAGCCATTTTAGTAAATTATTTTTCAAGTTCATGTCGCACGAATGGTAAAGTTCGATAGGTAATTCTCCGGATGTCCCAATAAGCTAAAAGTCCAAAAACAACTGTAATTCAGATAGGGAGAATTCTTCCAAGAGTAAGAAGAATAACATAATTGACATATTGTTGGAAGAAATTGTTTATTGCTGAACAAATTGATTTGCCCGTGCTCTTCGACACGACATGATCATAACAGATCAAATATGAAATATTATGAACGATGCAAACGATCATATTCAAAACCGTTAACCGATGCGCGATTGTCATGTTACTCCACTGTTGATATCGAGGACGAGAACTTGTGGCGAGATATTGATCGATCGTTGCCAAACATAGACTAGTCAACAATGTTAATGAAAATAATTGTCGGAGATATCGATTTTTCCGTTCAATCAACACCGAATCCAGTCGCAACTATTCGATTGGGCAGAGCCGAGACTAACTGGCAAACATTGATGACTTACATAAAAGCTAAATGAAATCCTGATAAACTTTCTCGAAAACTAAAAAGAACTATTGTATTTCAAAGTCCAGCGACAACACCAACAAATAATACCACTAAACCCTAATAGATTGTTATCTGCTGTTCAGAAACGACAAGCGCAGAGATATTTGATGATGACATTTTGGCGAGGAAGCTTATTGTTTTAAGTGCGATGTTCTGTCGACGGCTAGAATTCCAATAAACTCTTTTCTTTTACGAACTTGAGCACTAAATCCAAGTGTGTAATTTTCATAAATAATTGTTAATCGGCATACTTTTTTTTACACATGAAAACGAATAATCAATATCATTGATTTGAATGTAATGCATACTCTCAGAGTCATGTGAAATCCAAAGATGTTCTCATGCAATAATTTTATGGTCCAGTTCGTCCGTCTTTTTTCCTCAACAGTAAATTTTCTATTATGTCTTTATTCTCTCCTTTCATTCGCAGTTACGTATACTAGATGGTGTATGTTCTATAATTTGAGAATGGAAAGTATTGTAAACATTGTCATGGTTACCACCGATGAAAGAAGTAAATTTTTTGTTACAACAACCATTCTAGTTGCATGTTAACCCTTTACGGCCGGCTAACAATAGATAATACAGGCAAAAAGTTATCTCTCTATATTCTTTGTCGTTTAGTTACAGGGATCAGTTTTTCACGGCTGACTTTTAAAAAAAATGCCGTACCACCCTATGGCAAAATTGTCGCTTTTGGCAACACCCAGCTTAAAGGGTTAAAAGAAGCAGGCTTTCATTTTTATAATATACAATCACAAAATTAACCGTGTATGAGGAGATAACGAGTGTAAAATGTGATCAGGAAAAATGTTAACCTCGTTTGATCCACGGGTAACTCAACCATATTTTTTACCTCTATATGAGGTTAAATCAATAGTCGTAGAGAATAAACAGTTGAAACTCAAAGATGTCTGCTTACTTGAATAGAATCAATTATCATCTTTGAAAAATCGATACATGTATTTTGAATACAAATAGACTCAATGATATTTCTAAAGCATTGATTCTTTGAACGCAATATAAAGTGTTACTCGTTGTCAATTCAAAGATGACCAGATGTGTCTTGCTTTGCCGCCCATTATCTGTATACCTTAAGTTATTTAACTTTTTCGTTTAATTAGGAAATGACGAACAACTTAACCATCATTGTTTTGTCTTGGCGGATTTGCCAATGGCAACTATCTTTAAACAATAATAATTACATCGATGATGACGAGATTAACAAGAGCAGTGGCTTAAAACAACGCAGTAATAATCAATTTGAATCAGCACTTCAAAAAGATTTGAAACATATGAGAAATGTGATGATGTTGGTATGAAATACGGTGATTCCCGTCAAACTTTACCTTCATGGCGATTGCAGCGCTTGTGGGTATCAAAATAGTTGTAAGAGAAGAGATGGTTGTGTTGCTGGTATCAGTTTATTTTAGAATCTTTATGAAATTGACTGAATTTTCCACTTCTAACTTCATGAACTGTTGAAATGTCAGTATGCTTCATATCTATTCGTTTTGTAAGAAAAAAAGAACAAGAAAACGAGTGTCGAATTGATCGATGACTGTGGTTCCGAAGAACCGAAAGATATGCTTCTGTCTCATAACTTCAGAGTTGTGTTTAGCCATCGATCACGGCTCGTCTCTTTCATTCCTTCTGATGTCCTTATTTATGTTGCACAAGATTGCAGATGGTGCAATTCTTTCTTTCTTTTCTCTTCTTTATAACATATGAAAGACGAAAGAAAGATTACGAAATCACAGAGAGTAAAATAGCAATCTCAAACGTGTGATAAACTATGATGTCACTGTCATTTTGTAACAATAAATAGATTTTTCCACTCAACTGGAAAAGATGATCTATGGATTAACGTCACTTTTTTCATGTACTGAGTATAATGGTTTGTTCCGCCTAACTGAGTACGCATTGTGAAAAAAAACTAAATTTTTACCACATCTTAATAGAAACTTTGTATCATGAAATTTGAAATCAAATCAATTTCATCCAATGAATGATAGAAAGAACCATTATAAATGCCATCAAATTTATTCCATTTTCAAGAGTAATCACCTTTTGGTGAGAATCCTTCTGAAAATAATAACAGTACGCCGTTGGGATTAGATTCACGTCATCTCGCTCTACATTTCGGGGGAACAAAATCTTTGATATTATAAAAGTACTCATTTTCCTTCAAAACCACAACAACAGAAAATGTCAACAAGTAACAACATTTCAACTCAACCATCGAACACCGTTGTTCTTGCTAGCACCATAGCAAAACAATACATCATTCATTTACCAGTCATCTTCATCGCTTTGGGTTTCATCGGATTTCTTGGTAATGCGCTAACGTATCTTCAAAAAGATATACGAACAAATCCATGCAGCATTTATTTATTTTGTGGTTCTATCGCTGATGTTACCAATCTTCTTTACAATATGCTAGGAAATTACTTAGCCGCAGCTCACGGAGTTTATATTCCATGGGTCAAACTACCGAATTTGTGCAAATTTTATAGTTTCTTTCTTGGATTTCTTCCTCATTTATCCATCAACTTTCTCGTAATGGCAATCATTGATCGATATGCATCGACTTGTGCTTTCACAGCTCGCATACGTCGTCTCAATTATATTAACATAGTTCCATGGTTAATTGGTATAACTATTCTCCTCAGTTTTATTTCTTCTATTCGATCATTGATTCTCTATGATTATCAAGACGGAAAAGGATGTGTCCCCACTCAACCATTATTGAATAATATTCTCTACACGATAATCAACGGTACAGTACAACCAGTAACCATGTGTATCTTTGTTTTCCTTACATTTCAAAATGTTCGTAAAAGTCGTCAAAGAGTAGTGAGTTTCTTGATCGATAAATCGATGAACACGAATTCGTTTTTCTTTCTCAGTCAGGTACCGGTTTAGTCAATCCCAGGCGGACTCGAAATCAATTCATCAGTATGATTCTAACACAAATATTAGCCACATGTGTAATATCTTTACAATGGATGATCATGTATATTTACTATTTTATTCCCGTTCAAACTCCGAGAACCGCTGAACAACAGGCGATTGTGAGTTTGTTTTATTCACTTACAAACTACTGTTACTATTTGAATAACGTCAAGTCGTTTTATCTTTCAATGTTAACGTCAAAATTGTTTCGTAAAACGTTCGTTAAAGCATTCATCAAGTTCTTACCTCGACATCAACATCAACGATAGCGTTTCCCTCAAACAAATGTCTCTACGATGACTGTAACTAAAATAAATCCCTAACGGATCGCATGATGTATAATGAAAATGTCCTTTGAACGTGGCTTTTCTTTTCCTTTCATGTTGTTCGTACTAACATTTCTTAGTCATGACGGGTGAGTGTCTTCGATAGGTGAAGATATCCACATCTTGGTAGTGTACCGGTTTTTTTTAACGATGTAATCGTCAGCAAAGTGCATCAATCTTATAGATTCTTGTTTATTAAAATGTCTCTCAAGTTCATGTTAGGCTTATTCAAATATGATGCATTAATTGAATGCGGCAAGAAGATTTCGGCTTATTTGATCAACTTCGTGAACCGGCACCAGAATACTAAGCTTTGATACGCTTTTACAAATGTCACCTGCTGTTTGAAGGGTAATCTTATGTCCTACACTAAAATAAATAGCATTTTTCGGTTAACCAGTTATGCTATACGCAGAACCAAGAGTTCTCTCGCTATCACTTATGATTTCGACAAACTGATGTTCATTGGGTGTGCGTACAGCTATCAACTGTTCTATTTGTTTTTGAGTAATTATGCCATTAATGACAAGAATGTTCTTTGAAACAGCGAAGCAACGCCTGCTCGATGCGGATGCCATGAGCTATTATCACTAATCAAAACAACTTGAGGCATGAATTCAGGACGACGTTCTTTGAGAACACCGATAATTTTCATAAAAACTGGATTCTCACAAAAAATTCGAATAATCATCAACATCGCCAGTCTTAATACAGCAATAAATACTTATTTTAGCAACAGGTTCGAGCGTATTGTAATCGAAAACGATTATCGATGCAACAGCTTTACCATTTTCTTGGAGAAAATTATTCGTCAATCTGGTCAACATGAACTTCAATCGACGAACTAACACGTTCTAGTCTACCAGAAGATTGGCAAATTAAGACAAATTAAATATTTAAACAAAACATACGTAGATAATTGTTACTTACTCCTTCTTTTGACTGAATTCAGTTATATCTTTGATTGTGATGTCCAGACAGGTGCTATTGATTTTCATTGAACTTGCGTTGCGAGCAAGATGTAGTTGTTGTACTCGAACTATAAGACTTTTAAAATCAATTCCACTATTCTTTATACTGATCAGACATGGAACTTTCAATTGAATTGAATCAAATAAAACTGTCTCTGTTTCTCGATCGTATTCCATCCCACTAGCCATTAATTCTGCAATCAATTTGCTTCGATTCCAACTCGGATTAGTCCAATTAATAATATTAGTCATATTGATTGTGGTCTTTCGAAATTTTAAATAATCTTCAATAGTCAAAACTAAAGCAGAAAATCTCAGAGAGGGATCGACAGTTTTTCGACCTCCTTGTATTTGTGTCAATCTCATCATACAGTCCAGAATCATTTCATCTGTTATGTTTTCATTGTGGGAATAAGAATTCTCAATTACTTCAGCAACTGCCAGATGTAGCGGAAAATAAAGAATGGATTGGTTGGCAACGGCACCGTTCGATCTCTTTTTCAATTGTTCATTCAATTTTGATTGCACTCTACGTGCCAAATCCACTACAGATATACGTTGGTTTTCCATACTTTCATCCCATAAAGGTGTTACTCCAAGAAACAATTTACTTGGACGAGAGTGCTGACCTAAATTGATTACATATCCAGAAATATATATATCAGATGGCATACGGGACGCATTTAAAAGATCTTCATCCACCAGTTTCACTACTTCGTCCCATTGAATATTGAAATCGCCCCGAATAGACTCATATCTATAAGCCAAATTGTTATATAACTTTATCGGTCGGTCGGATCCATCACTACTGAGTGTTGTTAGAAGATATAGAACAAAAGAAACAAATTCGTTTGGAAATATTCTCGTACGATCACAACCAATGCTCTCAGCTAATTGATCCAACATCGGCATTAATTCATCATAATCTTTTGAGAGAAATGCTTTCATTGGTTTATCATTAATATCAATCGATTTCAGTGAATTCCAGAGAGGAACGTCATTGAAGGTGTCAAAAAGCATTTCATAAACTTGTTTGATAAGAATTTCGGAATGATATTTGATTCGAAAACAATAAGTTTGAATACACATCAGAAGAAATCGTTTGCGGAGAAGTGTAATGATCGTATGGATGTTCAGTTGATGAAATTCGAAATTGAATTTTAAGATTCGACAGAAAGCTGTGAAAGGTTGACGAAGAAACATGTGTTCTTGCTTGATGACTTCTTGAATAGCATTGACAAATGGCATTCGTGTTCCTTCATCGAGAAATGAATCGTTCGAAGAAATATTTTCAGCGATTTGATTTATTAGGAACTTTCTGATTTCTTCATTGAACCAATTCGACTTATGATCATCAATCATAGCTAAGAGTAACATCGATACGTGGTGTAAGATTCTATTTCCGGTTAAAATTCCACATAAGGTACCATTGATGTAGTCTCGATTGGATTGTGTCGACCAATTCAATGGAATAAAGCCTGAACACGATTCACGATAGAGTGTCTTTAGTTTTTCGTCGGACGAGTTTCTCATTGTATTGATGTAAGTAGGTGCACAGAAGCCGCACACAGGATTGCAGACAATACAAGAATATAAACTTTTAGTTTCTTGTAATGGAAAAGTCATGACGCTGTCGTTCGTTGAATCATTTAAATCATTTGGGGAATTTAACCAAAGAAGCGCTGGTCCTTGTTCCATACAGATTCTACATTTGATCAACGGAACGTTAGTGTGATCTAATAAATTCAATGATATATAGTCATCGAGATGATCAGTATCGATTAGTTTTGCTCGTCGCGCTCGATTGGAAGTAAAATGAAAATCATGGATTGAATATGAACCGATCTCTTGCTGATGAATCAGACTTAAAATATTATTCCAAAATTGTCGTGTTCGGTTTAAGTTTGAATTCAAATATTCGGTGTACTTTAATTCTTCGAGTTTCGCTTGATCCGTGACCGTTCATAGTTGTTGGCGAAGTCTGGCAAGTTCATCTTCCGTTTCTGACTGCTCGGTTGATTGGAGAAGAAGAATATTTTCGATGATCTCATCCCGTTGTTTCGTGTATTTAAAATCATGGTCGCTTTTGATCTTGTGCATATCTAATCGGATCGCTTCCAGTTTCATTTGAGTGACTGAATATCGGAGTTCGGACAACTTATTACTAATCTTTCCATATTGAATCAATGTTTTCCATTCTTCTTCGTCAATTTTCATTGAAAAATACACATCTTTTACACTAATGAATTCATCGAAATTGAAAGCAACGATTTCTTGTTCATTTTCATGAATTTTAATACAACCATGGGGAATGTTCGCGTATCCATAGATTTGAATATGATGAAACAATTCATCGAGGTCAACTGTCGTTGGACTTGCATAATCTGTGAAATTATCCGGTGATTTATATATATTACTGATATAACCAACTGATGAAAGAACATAGAATGTTTTACCGTCGTAGAAGAGACATAAAACATTGGAATCGATCATCAATGGAGCAAGGACAGAAATGTCAATTGCCGACGGACTAGCCGACGATCAGTGCTTTGTTCAAATTGTTCTTAACACGTGTTGCGAACTGAAATAATAAACAGCGAACTTCAGACATGTTGATTGTCGAAAGCTTTGAATAGTTTGTGCTTACCTGTGCGACACTTGCATTACCAATTTCTCCATCAGTTACGAAAACAATCACATCCGATTGATTGAATGCTTCTTTAGTGTTGGTATTTTCAAATATCGATGATGGCGATGAACCATTTGTAGGCATTGCACACTTTATATCTTTACATATTTCGGCCGATGAATTCCAAAGAACGATATAATCAAATTGAATATAATGACAAATATCCAATTCGGCTTCTAGAATTGTTTTCCCAAGTGAATCTAATCGAGTGTGTGTTGAAATCGAATTATCCATAAAAATTCCTTTGGTGAAATCTAAGTTTATATAGAAATGACTATGTTCATTGAGTGTTTTTGTTAAATCTTACCGTTCACCTTCTTCAGCTGCCGATCTGCTTTTGAAATNATAAATTCAATGATATATAGTCATCGAGATGATCAGTATCGATTAGTTTTGCTCGTCGCGCTCGATTGGAAGTAAAATGAAAATCATGGATTGAATATGAACCGATCTCTTGCTGATGAATTAGACTTAGAATATTATTCCAAAATTGTCGTGTTCGGTTTAAGTTTGAATTCAAATATTCGGTGTACTTTAATTCTTCGAGTTTCGCTTGATCAGTGACCGTTCGTAGTTGTTGGCGAAGTCTGGCAAGTTCATCTTCCGTTTCTGATTGCTCGGTTGATTGGAGAAGAAGAATATTTTCGATGATTTCATCCCGTTGTTTGGTGTATTTAAAATCATGGTCGCTTTTGATCTTGTGCATTTCTAATCGGATCGCTTCCAGTTTCATTTGAGTGACTGAATATCGGAGTTCGGACAACTTATTACGAATCTTTCCATATTGAATCAATGTTTTCCATTCTTCTTCGTCAATTTTCATTGAAAAATGCACATCTTTTACACTAATGAATTCATCGAAATTGAAAGCAACGATTTCTTGTTCGTTTTCATGAATTTTAATACAACCATGGGGAATGTTCGCGTATCCATAGATTTGAATATGATGAAACAATTCATCGAGGTCAACTGTCGTTAGACTTGCGTAATCTGTGAAATTATCCGGTGATTTATATATATTACTGATATAACCACGTGACGAAAGAACATAGAATGTTTTACCGTCGTAGAAGAGACATAAAACATTGGGATCGATCATCAATGGAGCAATGACAGAAATATCAACTGCCGATGGATCGTTCGACTTCTTGTTATTCACAATAATGCAGACGATCAGTGCTTTGTTCAGATTATTCTTCAGACTGTTGCGAACTGAAATAATAAACAGCGAACTTCACACATGTTGACTGTCGAAAGCTTTGAATAGTTTGTGCTTACCTGTGCAACACTTGCATTACCAATTTCTCCATCAGTTACGAAAACAATCACATCCGATTGATTGAATGCTTCTTTAGCGTTGGCATTTTCAAATATCGATGATGGCGATGAACCATTTGTAGGCATTGCACACTTTATATCTTTACATATTTCGGCCGATGAATTCCAAAGAACGATATAATCAAATTGAATATACTGACAAATATCCAATTCGGCTTCTAGAATTGTTTTCCCAAGTGAATCTAATCGAGTGATTGTTGAAATCGAATTATCCATAAAAATTCCTTTGGTGAAATCTAAGTTTATATAGAAATGACTATGTTCATTGAGTGTTTTTGTTAAATCTTACCGTTCACCTTCTTCAGCTGCCGATCTGCTTTTGAAATATTGACTAAAAATGGTGATGTCATTCGTGTGTGTATTACAAAAATTCTAAAGCAAATGAGAAATAAGCAGGCAATTTATATGAAAGCAACATGTGTCAGTAGGAAGTGAATAAAAAGCGATTTTCGCCGAAAACTAATACAAAAATAATCAAATATGGCATAGTAGTACCATTTTCAAAAGAAATCTAATGAAACTATTTTCTTTTCAATTTCTTGCATCATTAAGTGATGACATTACGCTATTCATTTGTAACTGGAAGCACTAGGAAGTCTGACGTCAGTTGAGTACGGTAACTTACGATACATTGTATTGTATTTGCTGAGTGGGTGACAATCAGCTAGAGTAGATAGGAGCGAGTCAACCCAGCTTCTAATTAGCTTGAGATTTAAAAAAATGGAATTGAAATCAACGTAGTATTCAGTATTTTCTTTCCAAAAATTTCGTAATTTTTTTAATCCTCCAATAAAAAACAAACAATATCAATAGAACGTCTAACATGAAATGAAACAATATGCAGCTTCGTTTATTCTTTGCATTGTCATTAGTATTAGTAAGAAAATTTCATACAGATCATTGTGATTCGACAACATCAACGTATCTTAAATCTATCACCGAGAAATCGTAATATTTAATAATTGATTACATTTCGATCCTTTTGTTTTGCTTGATAAGTATAATAATAGTAAACAATGTAGACAAAAGATAATCTTTTTTTATAGAAAAATGCCAGTATCTCTAATTTACGTATATATTCATTTGTCAATCAAAAGCAAAATCGCTTGATTTACTATTTGTATTGAGAGCACAGATATGTAACGTTGTTTAAAGATTTGTGAAATCTCACAAAATTACTTCCAGAATACGTAAAGAATATAATTTCGACAGGTTTTTTTTGTAAAACATGAGAGGATCGGCGCTACAACTTTTATTATATCCTATAGGCAAAAAATCTTTTTTTATTCACAAATCAAATCAAATCCTTAGACTCGATGGTTTCCACTATCCGCAACATAGAGATTCCCTTGAAGATCAATTGCTAAACCTTTAGGGAAAGTCAGCTGATTCGATTCTTCTCCTTTTCCATTTCCACCTGCAATAATCGTTCTTTGATTTTCGTTTCGTTTCCACTTAACAATGTGATGATAGACTGAATGCTTCATAAAAGGTATTCTGATTTTATCAACAAAAATTTCCTGTGGATAAACCAATAAAAGATAAATTTCAATGTTTCGAGTTCCATGAGATTAGCGTTTCTCATGGAGATTGTATCTCTACGCTATCGTCAGATTGAGAATTAAATAAAAGCGTTCCAATAGTTGATTTATTTTCCTTCACCGTTTCAAATAACATTGGACAGAGACTTTTCTCATACAATGATCGATTTTCAAAATTGAGATGTTTCAATGCGATGTTCCAGTTATATTGATTACATAGTCGAATTCTTATTCGTTTCGGAGTATTTAAGTTATATCACTATTAAAATTTATCAACTGAACTACCAATTGACATAAAATTACCATATTCGGATATGAACAAAATGTTGAGTCCTTGATACATTACAGTTACAATGTGAAATCGCTATTCTGCATTCTAAGAGAATAAAAATCTTCGTTGTTTAAGCAGATAAAATAAATTTTTCTTTTAGAAACAAATGTGAAACTATCCCTTCTCTTGATCATCAGTGTATGATCTCTTACAACCTGTCGAATGGCTATTTTTTACTCAGCATAGAGAAATTTTTTGTATGATCAGGAAGAACGGATTGTTTTTCGAGAATGGTAGTCGCTTATACGCTTGATGGATAACTGAACTGTTTCTGTTCATTGAATCGTTGTGAATATTCTTTATTGGTGTTGAAGACAGATCGAAAGATGACGCAAATATGATGATAATCATCGTATTAGTATGTTCCTACTTGTCATTTTTCAACAATTTTCAAATAAATTCATGCGAGAACAAAAATAGGAATTGGATTGATATCACCTGAAATCTCCAAATGACTCTCGGCCCATGGAAAATGTCATGAGGCAATTTTCGAAAGAATCTACATTTCATGGACCTTCTTGGCGACATGATCAAACATCTGTACAGAAAAATCTCTTCTTTCCGATTTCAGAGAACTCACTTCAACAATAAAGTCGATCTTTGCCTTTTTGTATCAAATAAATAAAGATAATCATGTTTCAGAATCGAAAACACATGTGGAACTTGTCGTTCATTTAATTCTCTCATCGCATAATCTTACACATGAATTAAAACATTCTTTCAAATCGCCATCGGACAAGCCCGACTTTTGCCATCGTCACAATTTTCGACTAGAACTAAATAATGTGTATTTTTGACCAGAAGAATTTACAAGAGAGAAGAATATCTTCTGTTTTATCTTCCACTGAATTTCATAACCAGCAAAACAAAATAAACGCTACCTTCTTTACTTTATGAAACACTCAAAATCAATCCGAGCATGTCTCATTTCCCTGTATTTCAAATCTAATTTAGGTTCATTGCCATGAATTTGAAAGCGAATACTTTCCAGCAAAGAAGACATTTATTTTGCGCGGTTTTTTTGTTTTTCGTAAAGGTTTTCCATTTGTATAATTGTTCAATCCGCTCATAAGTGCAATCTTCCGTCGATAATCTACTAATAAGACAATGCTGGTACCTGCTGCCATAAGATATCTACAATCAATTCTGTTTACAAAATCCAAATGGGAAATTACCCAGAAATATAGAACTCATTTGATTTCGGGTTCTAACTTAAGAAAGAATTTTTGAATATGAATATCTGACGAATTTGTCACACGCGTTTGTCTGACGATAAGAGCTTACGAGGGAACATATTTAGGTGTTCAAGCAGTTTAGATCCCATCTTTTGGTAGTAAGTAGACCCCAATGAGGTATGAAAAACCTTAAAAGGATTTGTGCCCTCGTGTCGTTGTTGCTGGGTTATAATCGCTTTACTTNTTATTTTGGTCTACCTAATAATTTATCGTAAAGACTGTTTCAAGTTGTTCTCCGAAATTCGATTGACCTCAAGCGTTATAAGTAAAATATTAATCACTCAGCATTCTATGTGTTCATTAGCGGATCGTGAACTGTAGGGGTTCGTTGCATGAATAAATGAATACTATACATGTGCTCGATAAAAATGTATAAAATATATTTCGCACTCGTGACAGACATTTTTTCATCTGTTGCTTGATGTGAGGTCAATATAAGCCAAGGGTGAGCTTTACCATGAGAATAACTGTCGTACTCTCCTTGATTAGACTACATAGATTATTGATATTCCCATAATTCCAGTACTCCAAAATTATGAACAAAAAGGTACATTTCTCGAAAATAAATACACCTTAGCAGACGTTTTGTCATTCTCAAAAGCGTGAATACGACTTGTCGCTTATGATTTTTTCGTTTGCAGCTGCGCAACAAGTATGATAATGTAGGTAGACAAGTAGTATTGAATTGTGGAATTCTTAGGGAAAAATATACAAAAACTACTTATGAACTTCCTGAGAATGACAGCTGGACCCCATGAGTTGCCTAATTCGACTTCTATTATAGGTCGACCCACGAGAGACTAATATCTATTCGAATATAAGTATATGTCTATATTATGCTTATAACAAGTGACTAGATAGAAATAGGAATGAATTTAGTTTCACTTATACCTATACACACCCACACACGCGTATACCTCGATTGAGGGTGCCACAGTAGGCGTGAGGGTGTGAGGGTATATAGGTATAAGTGAAACGGAATCTATTCCTATTCCTATCCCTATCTATTCCTAAACTTACATGGGTGTGAGGGTATAGGTATAGGTGAAACTAAATCTACTTCTGTTCCTATATAGATAGGGATTGTAGTGTGCTAGGAATAGGCCACTTATATTATAAGTCGAATTAGGCAGCTACTCCTGGACGCATTCTTTTTTTATTGCGATAGAATGTACAGCGCCACAGAACCTTCATAAAGTATTCTCCCGAACGAATCATCTACTCTTGAGAGTCTCTATAAGGGCGACAGTTATTTCTTTGATAGTTTTCTATACTCCCTTGCACTAGTGATCTGCAACGCCAGTGTTTTTTACTCCATGGCCAACTCCAACAAACTCCAATTAGTTCTTATTGATAGTTTAGTACAAATATGATGTCTGTGAAACTTAGAACATATGGCTAAAAATTTAATTGGTGTATGAATCAAAGCTCTATATCGTTTAATAACATACAGTTTCACCCTTCTCTCTAGTATTTTAGAAGAACTAACGTCATTTATCACCTAGATCATGTAAAATCAGCTAGCTGATTTAACTTCAATACTGATTCAGAATAATTCCTAGGGATTCGTTCCAACTCCAATGTTTGTTATTTCTCGATTCTAATTACAAGGGAGTTGCTGTTTGAACTGGAGCATGGAGTTCAGTGCAGATCGCTATCTTGTGTTGATACTGTGTAGTCCTCAAATGCAGCACAGTACACCACTTTGCTCTTAGCAACTGAATCGCACGACAAAGCTGAACAGTATATATTTTGATTCAACAGCTACAAAGCATGGAACAAATAATATATCCCATCATATAATTTTAGAGACGTGTTTACTTTCTTTCATTCTACAGTGAAACCGTGAAAGAAGACAACTTCCTCGATCTACAACTACAAATAAACTCTAAGCTTTGACGGTGTAGTCATTGTATCACATAACCGGATCCTACATCATATAATTATCCGACCTTGTAATGTTGAATCTCATGTTTCTTCCTTTTACCATATCGGAAATCAATCTGTCATCCTAGGATAGGACTAAGAGGCATAAAGAGTACCCAGCATGGTACTATATCAGAACCTAAGAATATCCCTTAAGGGCACGACTTGAGGATCAAAAACATCATGCTACAACACTTATAGATCTGGCGTATCGTTGTGTCATGGCATTTGATGACTCAAGTGCATCCTTGCACTATAGGACTCGAGGACCCAAAGGGCACCCCATATGATCGTACATGAGGGTCCAAAGCGGTTTC